GTACTTTTGTCCAACTGAGCAATCTTGCTTTCATAAAATATACCAACATTTTAATGACTGATGATTAACATGCTGTAATACAAACTTCAAATTTAAAAGCTCAAATGCTGTACATGAGAGGTTAAGCTCCCCGTGGCGGTTTTACAAGGTGATTAAGCTCCCCCTGGCGGTTTTACGTCAAATGACGCGATTAACTGCGTGATACTGTGACACGCCCACCGGGGTATGCCGCGAAATACCCCACCAATTTTGAATGGCTGCATCTGTATGTTTTAATTGTACGTATTCAAGTTACCAAACCAGCCTACCACAGTGGATGTTAACACAGATTCAACATAGATCTATAGAATAAGGTCATCATTGTAATACACACATTAAAACAGCAGATTTCTCAGGAAGAATAATCGCTGTTGAGTCTTCTTACATATAACATCCATATTTTTCTCAAAGGTTAGTTTTTAGTCAACAAAATTCCCAAGATAATTGTAACTATTGATTATTTAAGTTTCTTGCTCCTCAATGACTGTTGATTTTGCAGTTGATGTGCTTTTAATTTGTCCCATGCTGCATGCACATTCTGCACGATCCTGGTGAAATGGCAGCCAAAACAACTTGCTCTTAGACGTACTCTTAGTGTTCAAAATCTGCATCTGTGTTTTGGGGATTTGTATGGAAGATTGTGACAGTGCTGATTTCAGAACAGTGCTATCATTTCCTCAAACAGGTGACATAAAGCCAAAGTATCGAGCACTCTTTCCCTTTATATTATTTGGCTTTAAATGGTGTTATAGAACAGATGTTTGGGTGGAGTTTAAATTCTAATCTTGCACTTCTACTACGCACATTTTTTCTAGCATTCCTCCCTCCACCAGTGCAGCATGTTCTCCCTGGCTCTTCCTTTATAAGTGAGGAAGGATGTGACAATTAGTTAAAGCCAACTGAACAACTGAAATTTGACACTATGGACCTGTATAGAGGAAGCAATGGTATTGTTACATAATTTAAGGGGCTGAAAAGATGAAGAAAATAAAGCAGGATAATCAATAATTAACATAAATACAAATCCAGCCATTCAAAAAAGGCAAAGCACAATGCGGCACACTGCATGGTAACACAAAAGACCTTTTCACTTTTTCAAAAAATCTGATGCTGGACTGCACTACTTTATAAATGTGCCAGGTAGCACAGTGAACGCTTAATGTGGGCTGTCACATGAAACTCTTGGGTACGAATCCCAGCCATTGGGGAAAATCTGTGTTCCATAATGAAATTTAATTTATACACTCTTTTTGACATTTTTATTAATTTTATATATCCCATTTTATATAAACACAAACAGTACAGGTTCTCCTGCATCACTATAGTGGAGCTGAAAAAAAGTGCTTTATCTTGGGAACCAAATCACAAACACTACTTTATAGAGCACAACGGAGCATATTTTAATACTAAGTAAAATCAAGTATTAAAACTAAATATTGCCTATATCTGTTTATCATTTCCTGCATCATTATCACTATTTCTAGCCTGTTTCTATTTCCAAAACTGCTTTAACGTGGTTATATATAAGGACAGTAAATCAGGGTTCTGTGCAGGATTGTTCCCATTAATGCTAGTGGACTCATTTTTTATAAATAAACTTGTTTTAGTAAGGGTCTCTGAGACGCAATGTTCAGCATAGAAATTGAATGTGTTAAATATTTATTTTATGTCAGTGGTCACTGTGCTTAAATCAATTAAAAATGGATGGATCGGTGGATGGATAATTTTACAATTTCCCAATTCAACAAAGAAGTCATTCTCTTGAAATGCTGTTTAAGAGTATCCCACTCCCAGTTTCTTTCCCCCCACTGCTAGGACATAGGCGCTAAAGAGAAAGCTTATGAGAAGCCAAATGATAAGAAATTGATTATAAATGGTTTAAAATCACTATATTGCTTGAAGAATTTAAAAACTGTCAGCCTGAATGAATTGTAATTTATCTGAAGGAGAAGAAAGAGCATTTTAAGATTTATTAAAATCAAGTCTTCTGTCGTTGGTTGTTTTTACTAATCACAGTCCTTTAGGTTTTTCTTTATTGTATATAAAACCGTAATCAATGACTGATGTGCTTGTATGTTACAGAGTTACTGAAAATTAGATGGGTGCTATCACTTGCTTAGCTTTGGTGGGATTTTTCTGTAGTCTAAAAAATTATAGTGAAGTTTATCTTGTGAAACTGCATTTCTTTCAACAAACATTGTTTATTATAAAGAGTAAGGATGTCACTTCCTGCTGTGTTTGCTAATTTGAATAAGCAGGTTTGTTTGGGTTCTGGGTGTTTTTCCTTTGTAGTACTGTGTGGGACCAGTGTGGTGACTGGCTGGCAAATTGCTAAATTATGTCATTGCTCCATAACTTATCAGCGATTCTTCAACAAGAGAGCCCCGTTAGTTTAAAGGATTCTGCTAGAAGTCCCGAAAAGAGGAGGGATTGAGTGGGCGTCTGCTGATAATTTTAGGATCTTGTTGGTTGTCAGGCAGTGGTGCATGTTTTTATTGATATTATGGGGGGTAATGTTGAAGAGCTGGGCAAGTATTTGTTTTTTTTATTTCTTCTAGGTTAGGTTGTTTCAGTGTAGCCAGTTAGTTGCACACATTATTTTTTTGGCATTGACTTTGCTGTTGTTTTTCGGGAAAGGGAGTTGTGAAAATGTGTAACCTAGAATTCATTCAAAATAAACTTCCCAGAGCTCATGGGAGATGCAAACACATTTTTACTTTGGTTTCATAATATCACTAATCTTAGGTAATTGTTATTTGTGTTTTAATGCCACTTCGTGCTGAAATGTTGTGGCATTAAATTGTAGATTGTTGATCTGATCTGGCCATCAACCGTTTTACTCCCCCACTGTCAGTATTCACACGTTTGCTCATTCACATCTGAAGAAGGTTCCACAGCTTCCTTTGTTTTTCCTTTGCAGCCTACGCATGCTGACTCCCTACTCAAATTCTTTTGCTCATTCATGTTCATTTGTGTATTAATAATATGAAAATAATTACATATAATTATTGTGGTATATATAATAAATATATGAAGAATATTATATACATATTATTTGATTTAAATATTACAGAAAGTCTTTATTTGTTAATAATAATAATTGTTATTTATTTCTAAAAAAAAGTAGGTCTAGCACATTGGCAGGGAAGCAGACCAAGACCCTTTTAGCTCATAGGCAACATTGCTACCACTCAACAAAATTGGCAGTCTAGCTGAACGACATTTTTTAACAAACTTTTTGTTTTGCAATGACAACAACAGAAAAGGTAGTTAAAATAAGCATGTCAAAACACTTCCAAAACAACCACAAGTGATCATGTTTAATTAGAATCAGTTGTATGAAGAAAATTGAATACCCCACTAGAACCAGCTAAATATGTTTCTGTGCATAAATTAATATTGTTAATGACATGCAGAAACTTATTTTTATTTTCAGCTATTTTCAAAAAATCCTTTTAGTTACATGATTCCATATTAATATTCCATATTAAGTGAATTTCAAAAAGTTTAAAAAAGATAATATTTTTGTTGTAAGAAGCTTATTTTCACTAGCGTCTAATATACCATAGTGCCACGTATCCATCATCTTTGTCCAATGAATCACAACGACGAAGTATTCTGCAGTATAGTGAAGCAAACTGCAGCCCATGTAACACATTATTGGTTTTTAACAAGCATTCTGGATGGCTCCATCAATAATTATAACCCCCAGATTGTAAAAAATATCCCAAAAATATTACCAACCAAGCGGTTGGTAATGCTTGAGGCACCTGAGTTCTTTGTTCTCTGGCACTGCTGGTGAAAGAGGAATAAATGAGATGGGATAAACAAATATTTATTAATAATGACAATAGCTAAATGGCACACAATGTCACACACAAAATGAAGTGTAGCACTATTTACAAACAGGACATCTCAGAGGCATACATCCTGACCAACCAGCAAAAAAACAATATACCAGTGTGCAGAAAACCTATAAAATGATTAACAGGTCAACTATAGAATTAAACCTGTTATCTAAATCTCTCTTCCTATAAATTTGGACTTTCTCGCTTCCTATAAAAGTTAACTTGACCCTATCTCAAACCAAATTTTATAGTTTTTCAATTTAATGCAATATAATGTAACAGTTGCTGAAATCATGTTTTTGTGCCTTTATTTCAAACACATTCTTCTCTTTTTGGCTTTATTACAGGGACAGAATGATGCTGTTGAAAATGGAGCAAGAGATCATTGATTTTATTGCAGACAATAAGTATGCAGCTCATTATTTTTTGTTTCTAGATGGTTGTATGCTCACTACTACAATGAAAGCATAATCAATGATACAGAATTTTTATTAAGCCCTTGGCTGAAAAAAACAAAACAATGAGAAAATGTTTAAATCCGCCGCAAAATTAAGCAGCATAAAGATACTATAAAAATGTTGTAATTGATTTTAAGATAATACTAGTAAATTGTCTTTCTCTATTGAACCTTATGTCATGTTTTTAATTGCAAAATGTATCATCCATGTAACATATACAGTACATCTCTATGGAGCTATTATTTTTATGTGGTCTTGCAATTGATTAACTTGCAGCCATATTGTTTTGCCATCTTTGATTAGCTTTGGTTGCGCACTGCTTACTTATGCTTACTTTAAAAGGAAAATAAAAACACATTTTCAGTGTACATCATTTTTAATCTCATCAAAAGACCAATGTCTCACCCTCTCATCTGAGGATTGACTCAATTTTATCTTTGATCAATAGGGATGGGGGGGCAAGAAAGCAAGAAATAAGAAATAAACAAGTATACAGTATATAGCCTAAAAAGGAGTCCCTAGCACTGTTGATTGAGAACCACAGTCCAACACATTTTCTATGTCTTTTTATAATTGGTCCAGTTAGGCTTTAAAATCTAACTTTTACAAATCTTCTGATTTTAGATTATTGTGTGTGTTTAGATTATTATATGTGTGTTCTCCAAAATTACCAAATGATTGTAGGCACAGGAAACTTATTATTTTGATTTGTTATTTGGTTGTTATTATGATTATTGCAGTAAAGCTTGTGATACTATACAAACACATTATTACCTTTTTGTTTGTGGATTTCCAAGCTGTCTTTTAAGCTTTAAAGATAAATAGTACTTCAACAAAACAATACAAAAATCTTGCACTAAACAGCTTAAAGAACAGCTTTAATGCTCTGACCACCAGCATCTCAGAATCATATACAGTGAACAAATTGCATCTGTTTTAATTATCTTTTGTATAATTTTAATTATATTTAATGCCCTATAATTATTTTTTCTCTTGATGATATTTTTCAAAATGGCTGTATTTTCTCATAACATTATATATATATATATGATTTGTTTTTGTCTTGTACACTTTTTTTCTTTTTCAGTAACCAATATAAAAAGTTTCCTCAGATGTCTTCATATCACAGAATGTTAGTGCACAGGGTAGCAGCTTATTTTGGGATGGATCATAATGTCGACCAGACAGGAAAATCAGTTATCATCAACAAAACAAGCAATACAAGAATGTAAGTACAGAACATAATTAACATTCTTAATGTATATATACAAATAATGGATATCTTTATTCAAAATTTTAAAAGTAATAGATATTAAAATGTCAATGTTTATGTCTATTCTTGTTATTTTTAGAACACTAACCTTTGTTTTATATACAGATGCAGCCATTCAAAATGCACGGTACAGACACGAACCGCGGGTAATTGTGACACGATGATGCAAAATACCGCGGTTTGTGATTGACCGACAGGGACACTCATGGTGCGTTGGTCTGTCGTAGAAAGATTTAAATGTCTTTACTGTGCCCGTTTTAGTATTGAATATTTATATGGAATTCTACCACTGAAGGGAAATCTTAATAGCTGAGCATAAAAAGAATAGGAGCATACTGTTATGCGTGTGAAAGCCATAAACTATATTAATTTTGGAACATAAACATACAGTATATGGCTGGTCTCAGTACTTTAAAGAAAAAATACACACCAGTATTCCATTTCTCCCTAAACATTTTAAGCATCAAAGTTTTTAACTAACGTGAAATAGCATGTAAAAAAGTGGTAGTTTTAAGCTTTCCTGCTAATATACTGTTGTGGGAAATCCTTCGTCCAAGGAGCAGGACACAGTCTTTGTGGATTCAGTTGTTTTATTGAGCTCAATAATGACATCAACGCGCGTTGGGTCTGCCCCGCAGGACAGACAAACTGCAAGGGTTTCCCAGCTCTTAAATACAGTATGATCTCAGGAAGATGTTTTGTTTCACTGCTTCATGTGTATTCGTCTTGCCCTTTGATATGTAGCATGAATTGACCGGTTGGTCCTGTCTCAAGTCCTGTCCTTTGATGTGTAGCTGTCCTTTGATATGTAGCATGAGATGACCGGTTGGTCCTTCTCAAGTCCTGTCCTTTGATGTGTAGCTGTAATTGTTGGAGCTGCTTAAGATATGTTAAAACAGCCGACATATTACACAATGCGCCTGAACCAACACTGTAGTGTTGAATACAGATAAATTATATATATATATTTTCCATCAATAATATATATATATAAGTGTTTTCCTACTTCAATAATATGGAATCACGTATCTAAAGAAATTAATAATGATATAATTATAGTCGTGTACTGCGACAGGGCTGTGTAGGGCTGTTTCACCTCTGCTCATGTTACTTCCACAGTAGCCTGCTGGTCTACGTGCCGGACTAGTAACCCGCAGGTTGTGTGTTCAAATCTAGCCGGCGCCGTGACTTTTCTTTTAACAAACATTTATCTGGAAAAATAGCAATATTATGGACAATTAATTGACTTTTTATATTTCTATATATCACAACATGATCGAATTTAAGACATTTTTAATAACAATGAATAGTCACCTTCTTTCCTTCTGACAACTGTCCCTGCTTCTGCTTCCTGCTTCTATCGTGTGTGTGTGTGGGGGGGAATCCCTTTAGATCTCCCTTCAGATTTAAAAGGTTATTAATTAAAACTACCACTTTTTTACACGCTATTTCACATGTTAGTTAAAGACTTTGATGCTTAAAATGTTAAGGGAGAAATGGAATACTGGTGTGCATTTTTTCTTTAAAGTACCGATTCCTGGAATCTGACTGGCTGACACCCTTCTGAAGTGGTACCATAATATCTGGTATACAGAAAAGAAAGCGTAGATAAAAAAGCTTGGATTCTCATGTATCTGATACAAGTATCTTTTAATACAGTCTTTGTTGTGCAGTCTAAATAATTTTCATAGTTAAAAATTATGAAACGCTCTGTTAAAAGCAAGGGAGTTTTTATGTCCGTTACAGTAAAAGAAAATGTCTGACAAAGTAGGGCTTGGACAGATTCTAAGTGCTTGTACAAATGTGCTAAAGAAATTAGCAAAAAAAGTCATTCCTTTATCGTATTGGCTAGCTAATGTCCTGTCCTCGTTAGTTAGATCAACGAAATGCTGTGGTGTTTGTCAAAGAATAAAATAAAAAATTATTTTCGTTTAAAATGACGGTTAGAAAGAATGTGGACCAGCGTAATACTTTGAGTTTACAGCTTGTCCAAAGTCAATCATTATTAATACTATTCGTAATATCTTCGGTTTGATGCATAAAATATTTCTGCATAATTAAAATATTTATGATATAGGTAGGTTGTGTACTTTTGTCCAACTGAGCAGTCTTTCTTTCATAAAATATACCAACTTTTTAATGACTGATGATTAACATGCTGTAATACACAGTTTAAATTTAAAAGCTCAAATGCTGTACATGAGAAGCTAAGCTTTATTGGCTCCTCCTGGCGGTTTTACAAGGTGATTCCGGATACTTTCCGGTATGACATCAAATGACGCGATAAACTGCGTGATACTGCGTATTGATGCGACACGCCTACCGCGGTATACCGCAAAATACCCCACCCGTTTTGAATGGCTGCATCTGTAGAACTTTTCAAGGTACACCATCTTAAAGTGCTGTGAAAAAATAATTGATTGAGACTATCATTTGCAAAATAACAGAGTCAATTAAACAGATTAAAAAGCTACTATATAAAAATGAGTTTTATGACAGTATTTAAAAATGCTGATTGACTGGTAGGACCTGATATGGTCAGGGAGATCATTCCGTAGACTTGGAGCAATTGAACAGAAAGCATGGTCACTCAGTGTAGAGAAAGTCATACTGGAGAGGGAAAGACTGCCAGTGGCTGAAGAGTACAAATGATGTGTAGGTGCAAAAGGAGTTAATAGTTCACTGATGCAGTCATGAACCAAACCATTTTTGCCATTGCAAATGCCATTGTATCCCTTTTAAATGAACCACCTTAGGTAAGGTTTAAATATTAACATGAGCAAATGTCAGACTGTAACACAATTTTTGTTATAACTACAGTACATACTGTATTTATACAAACTTAATACATACTGTATCTCCAAACAGTATTGATATATAAACAATAGGCTTTAAAAGTATTGTTCTGCCTTACTTTATACACTATATATTATGTAGAATAATTTCCTTTTTGTGTGAAGAAGTCAATTTTATTCTGTAAGTCATTTGCATATTTTTGTTTGTGTGTGTGTACCAAGATGGAGATTACATTAAAGTTAAAAATTGAATGCACTCAGCACTGAAAACTATACACATGAAATAATAACATAGAACTAAAACAGCTTTCATTACATTAAGCTGATGAGGGAAATACGGTAAATTATGGCAAGGCCAATAATTTCTCATATTTAACTGATGTTAATTGAGCTATAAAACAAAGCAGTGTATTTAGAAAATGACTTTTCTTGCTGTTCAGTAATGTTTTCTATCTTAGAAGAGGGTTATTACTGTATATTAATATTTGAATAATTGTCAATTTCGGATACAAACATGGCATCTTGGTAGAGAGTGATTTTACACTCTCACACCCCTGACATAAGAAATTCATTTATTTCAGTTTGCAGTTATGCAGTTATGTGCATTGGTTTGTAGTGCAGTCATCTTACACATTGCATTCTGACTCCAGCTTTTAAAGATTACATATTCAGAGTGCAAATTAATCACATGGTCATACATAATCAATACATATTTGCTGCTATACTTCAGCATAAAATCTGAAGATTTACTATTACAGCCATCTCAGTTCTGGCCTTTAAAAAATCTAATATGTAAGCTACACTTTGACATGTTAAATGGAAAATGGGCGCTGCTCCTCATTTTGGAGTCATCATATAAGAGGAGTGAGGACACAATCACAATTTTTCTACCTTTCAACACTGCACAATTAATTGTGTGGCTCTGGTGGAATTTCTCTGTAAACTGAAGAGTTATAGAGGAGACGCATGTATCACCTCTTTTAACACTTGTAAGAACATTCCAATGTTAATGCAACACGGAATATATTATTAATATCCTTTTAAATCTGAAACTGCTAACTCTACCTCACACCTGCATGTCAAGATCACGGTTTCAAAATAAAAAAAAACATCAAACCTTTGATTGGATGAGAATGTCATGATTGTGAAACGTGACAATTTGTTACAGTTACCATCAGTAGAAAAACAGTAATGTAAACGTCATATTTACAATTAGTTTAAAATAAAAATGTAAAGTTCTCTAAAGGTTTCTCAGTCAAGAGGTGACTCAGTTTCAGGTGTGAAGAATACAGATCCCCAATTCAAATGCAGCCTAAACCTTTCCCCACACACCCTGCCCCCAAACATTCCTGCGATTGGAATATACACAAACAAAGCACTGAAGCTTTATAATAGATGATCAGATGTTTCGCAAACGTAGGGATAGTACATAATGCTGACTTTATGAACTCACACCTGGGATTCGATTTATTCAAAATAAGTAAAAAAAAACTGCATCAGGTACTAGATCTTGTTTATATTAAAGTTATATCACTGGGCAGTGGTGGATGGTTAGTGGACGGTGGAAAAACAAGTATTAAGAAAAAACAGGACATTTGATTGCTGATTGCTGTTATTTTTAAAAATGAAATAAAAAAATAATATACAATGACGTGTTCCTGCCTAACTTAAGCACTGTGTGACTTTGAAAGGTGTAAAAAATGGTTTAGCTGTAAAAAATGGTTTAGCAGAAAGTCGCCTTGCTCATACAAGCGGCTCTGTTAAGCAGAGTTTGTGTTAACTTTGTCAGTGAAAAAAATGACCGTGGGCACTTTTAAAAAAAACTCATTCTTAATGGGCTAATCCTTCAGTCATTCTTTTTTAGTTTTTTAAACAAATGTTTATTTGTTAAAAGAAAACTCATGTTGACTGCTGGGTTCAACCCCCAAACCTCCTGCATGAAAGGCACACACCTGAACCTTTGCACCACACACGTAATTACAGGTGAATGAGTTAAACTGATACAGACATTTACAACAAGTCTACTACTGTGATAATTTGAGCTATGTGAATATAATTATATCATTATTAATTTCTTTAGATACGTGATTCCATATTATATTCCCTATTAATCGAATTCTTAAAAGTGTGTTTTTTACTGCGATAACAAGCAAACATTCATGGAATGAAGTTTAAAACATTATAACTTTTTATGAAGTATATAAACGTAATATAGTCAGAAGGGGCACGTAAAAACTTTTCCAAAATTACCACAGTATGTAACCGAATGAAAGACTTTGATCCTTAAAATGTTTAGGAAGAAAGTGGAATACTGGTGTGTATTTTTTATTTAACCTGCCAATACCAGCCATATACAGTTTACATAATATGTTTATGTTCCTAAATTTATATAGTTTATGACCTTCAGACGCATTATGCTCCTCTTCTTTTTGTCCTTAGCTACTAAAATTTCCCTTTAGGTCTAAAATTCCATATAAATATTCAATATTAAGCGGATTAAAACATGCACAGTTAAGAGATTAAATGATTAAATCGTTTCACTAACAACCAATGCACCAAGAGTGCCCCTGTCGGTAATTTTGGCCAGTACTGCGGTACAATGCTGTGAACTGTGGGTAATTTTGCGCAGTACGGGGTTGAACCATACATTTTGAATGGCTGCATCTGTATATTACCTGCTATGTTTTAATATGACTTGCTGATATGAAATTGTGTGTCTGACAGCAAGACTTTCTTAACAGTTTGCTTATGTGCCAACAGACCTGAGCAAAGGTTTGGAGAACATATAAAAGATGACACAAGTGAAGACTCACAGAAGAGATTTATCTTGAAACGAGACAGCTCCAGTATTGATAAGGAAGACAATCAGGTATTCAGACTTGCTATGCATGTTGTCGGTATCAATTGCCGTACTGTCTCTTGGCATATTTTATTCATTTGACAGGGACATGCTATCTGTATCACTAGGTTTCCTGGAGATACACAGCATGATTTTAATTCTTTGTTCTGCATTGAAAACATGTGTCTGTACGCCATTTTTTGAGTATTTTTCAAAGTATAGCCACAAAATACCACAATAGTCACGAATAGGTGACTTTTTTTACAAGTAATTTGGTATGAATCTGAGTAATTGTAAGAAATGTATTTAAAATTTTGACTTTGTAATTTATCGAACCCTGTCAGTATGCAATTCCTTCATTAGAAATGAAAAAAAATATATAGTGCTTTAGGCAAATTCAACGTAATACTAATCATATTAGCAATTTATTTTCATGTCATAGGAAAAAACAGATCTCTCAGAAAATGTCAGCAATTACATTACCTTACACTTCTGTTGGAATTCTGTGCACATCTGAAGAATGATAGGCTATAATTAAGCCTTGTCTTACAGCCCTTTAACACATAGCTGTCATCCCTGGGATAAACTACAGTACATCACTAATTGATTTGTAAATACGTCTGCAAATGTAAGTTTAGGGTTAGCTGATAATGAAATCATTTAATCTGCATTTTGAAAGCGTAATTGAAATGTTTTGAAAAATATTTTTTTTTCTTTGTAAGTCAATAATTGACATATTCATGCCTAACATAAAGGCCTAACTAAATTCCATTTTTATGGGAATGGGAGATAAAAGTTATACTATGCGAAAGATGTGAAAGTGATACATTAAGAATGGCAGGTTATTAATGACTAGAATTCAAATTAAAGAAGACATTTAAGACCCCTTTAAAAGAATCTTTAAGTAAAAAAAAATATACTGATTTTCATAACCCAAGTACTGTACAATCCTCTGCTATACTGTTTGTCTGCTGCTTTGTTTTACCATCTGAAAAGAAACCCTTCTGGTCCATGTTTTGGCACTTTGGAAGGGAGTACTTCTTGTTGTCTAGGTTTTGCTGCTGTTGTCCATAGATATGACACATTCTATAAGCAATTTCCAGAGTGAATACTTATTAAAATTTTTAAAATGCAACTTTTTTTCTACTGTATGCCAGTTTATGCCTTGTTTGAAAAGTACTGTATGCATCACATGGAGAGTAGACTATCAAGTAAACACACAATTTGTCTTATATGTGTTAACATTTTAGGATCCAGGGTTTAGATATTAAACAACAAAATATTTTTTTTGTAAGCCAGTTATTTCTTTCGTGGCTGATGATTAAGAAAGAGCAAAAAGCAGGCATCATTTTTAAGCCTATTTTTTTGTGTTTTGTGTTTCTTGCTTCTTTGTCTTTGAGCCTTGTAGTCCACTAGGCACCAGCTCTTTGTATTTTTTAGTAATTCTGGTCCTGATGGATTTCATATTTTACATTCACAGGTTACATCATGCACTGTCGAGTACTACTCATTCAATATAATTATAGAATGTTAGAGATTAAATCATAAATATATCATAATCATATCATTAATAAGTGGATCTCATAGTTCTGAAAACGGTTTATTTGATATGCTAGAGCACCAAAGTATAGATGCCAGAAGGTTGTGCCTTTTTTTTAAGGAAACTCACTAACTTGTATTGCAAATTCTCAAGTGTTAGGTAATGTGGTTAAGTAGGACCAGGTCCAGTTTATGCTGTATATGATGCGCTTGATGTTCTTATAGGAAATAATAAAACATATTTCTTCCATGCTTAGTGCACTATTCCTGCAAGACTATATTCAATAAGCTTTAAAAAACTTTAGTAGATATGCCAGAGCATTTTTCTTATGGCCTATGGATAGATATGGTTTATTTTAAGACTTATATGTGAAGTGATGTGTGTGTGATAAGCGAAAAGTGAAACTTTTTACTTTGAAAAGTGAAATGTATTTTTGACATTATTAAAAAATACCTAACTGTATTAGTATGATCTGTGAAATCTTCTACACATTCTAAATGTATTCTTTTAATAATTTTTAGTACACTAAGAATAATATTATATAATTTATAGAATGAAACTCAAGCATAGAACCTTTTTTCATGTTACTCTTCAATGAAATTCAACGCAATCAAATGAAGTTTACTCCTTTCTATATTTAATAAAAATAGAAAACTTTTTACTTTTTTAACTATGATGATCATTTCACATTACAAAAAAGAGTGGTGTATTTCAATTTTATTATTTTTTGCATAGAACAGGATATGAAGAATGAACAACACAATATACTTTTCTAAAGTTACAGAAATAAAAAGTGTTGTTTCTCTTAGACATATTTGTAAGTGTCATGAAGGATTTAAAAAATAGGATGTAAGTTATCTTTTCTGAGCTTCCATTTTGTTTTTTAGGTGTGATTTACTAAATATTTTTTCTTATTGGTAACTCTTTTTGTAATCTGGCTGTCATTTTTGGAAAGAGAAATGTAGAAAAAAAAAGTAGGTAAAGTTGCTTATTCAAAATTTGTTCAAGCCATATAAACAGTTCCTCTTTTTTTGTTATATACAAAAATGCAGAAGGTTTTATTATTATATTTTTTATTTTTATTATTATTTTTAATTAAATGTTGACAGTCTTCAGTTTGTGAATTAATTATTTTATTGCCTAAGAATGTCCAAAAATCAAACTGTTTGCTGAAATGAGCATCAATACACTTTTTATAGAGACATTTTAAGTGTTCTTGTTAAAACATTATAAATCTTGACCTCATTCACTTTAAATGGCTGATGATAAACCTTGTCCACTATAGATTCAAAGTTGTTAATAATTTTAATTATCATCATATTTAAAGTGAAGTCAAATACTTGATACTGTACAGGTGTAGTTTTATACAAGTTAAGGGTTATTTTTCTAACTTTAGGACTTGATACTTACACATAAACTGAACTGTGCTGTTGATATGAGTTGTATATATGGCACATACAGTATAGTGCCATTTATGAGACAGCAAAAACATCAATACTTGTTTCTCATGAAGTATGTATAGTAATTTGAGTATAGTGTGAACAAACCTGGGGCATGGTGGCACAATGGTTATTAACAGTGCTGTCTCATAGCACTGGGACCCTGGCTTCAATTCTGGACCTGGGATGCTATCTGTGTGGAATTTGTGTGTTCAACCTTTGTTCATGTGGGTTTCATCTGGGTGCTCCGCTTCCCTTTCACAGTCTAAAAACATACTTGTAGGTTTGACTTCTGGGGAAATTTGCCCTGGAATCAAAGTGTGCTTGTCTGCTTGTGCCCTGAGATGGACTGGCATCCTGTCCAGGGTGTACGCTGCCTCACACCCGCTGCTTGCCAAGGGAGGCTCTGCTCTCCTGCCACCCTAAATTGGATGAAGTGGTTAGAAAACTAATGAATGGATGTAAACATATAGTCCTAAAATTATTTAAAATATACATTTTTGCTTAATAAAATGAATTCACTCTCTTGACTTTTATTAGAAAATGATAGAGATAAATTTAAAAGTAAAAGATATCCCATCTTTCACTCAATATGTTGTACTAAACTATTTTTGTAAACTGCACATATGATTTTAGAAAACAAAGTATGCAGATTTTAGCCATTGATTAAATGGTTTCAGTGTTATTGTGATTAATTGATCAATTCATCAATCAGTTATGTGATGATGATGACTTCCAACGGTGGCCAATAATAATAATAATAATAATAATAATAATGATAATGATAATGATAATAATAATAATTGCTTACACTTATATACCGCTTTTCTGGACACTCCACTCAAAGCGCTTTACAGGTAATGGGGACTCCCCTCCACCACCACCAATGTGCAGCATCCACCTGGTTGATGCGACGGCAGCCAGAACGCTCACCACACATCAGCTATCAGTGGGGAGGAGAGCAAAGTAATGAAGCCAATTCATAGATGGGGATTATTAGGAGGCCATGATTGGTAACTTTCACAGTAAATCCTCTGCTGATCAACCCTGTTGATGGCAAATACTAATCAGCTTGTTGAATTTGTTGTCGTGCTTGTTCGCTAAAATGTCAGTTCTCTTACTACAAAGAGGATAGTCATTTCTCTGATAACTTCAAGAATTTGTAGTAGTTAAAAGTGGTTTACTTCAATGCTCAGTGTACATTGTGCATACAGTTTACAGTCAAAATAGATGGCCATTGCTTTTTAAGGTAATGATATTGATTGTATATTCCTGTTTCCAAACATAATTCATAGCAAAGCTGTTAAAGTGAATATTGCTGTGCTTTGGTGGGTGTGGTTGCAGACAGTGAAGTGAATTGATTTTTCAGTCTGTGGAGCTTAGCCAGACAACATTTGTTTGCTCTGCAGGACTTCTCTCACTGCTTAGCCTGCTGTTTGTTTCCTTATTTCTCTTTTCCATTAAAGGCAGTGTACCTCAAGTCATGTATCTATTTTTAATTCTTACTTGCTTAAATTTATTTTTTAATATGTTGCTTATTTCAAATGTTGCATAACCCGTGTGCATTTTTGATTATGCAGCAAAATAGGATTCACCCTTTTAGAGATGACAGAAGGAGTAAGTCAATAGAAGAGAGGGAAGAGGAATATCAAAGAGTGAGGGAGAGAATATTTGCACAAGATGTAAGTGAATCACTTAATCAGTTATTTGTACTATGAATGACATTAACAAAGAGAGAAAAAAATCAAATAATCTCTAGTTAATTATAAGCAATAGGGGAAATATAACATTTTTTACTCCTAGGAATTTCTTATTAACTTTTTCCTACTTATTCTGTCCATTTAATTATGTTAGACATATTTGTTTTTTATATAAGGAGATTTTGCTTTATTCTGCTTTATTCTGATTGTGTCTCTTTAAGTGAATGTTTATTGTTTCCAATAAATATTCAGTTCATGTCAGTGAAATGCATTGCCTTTGTAGCAGATGCTGCTAATCCATATATGGTTCAAAGTGTACAGTTAGTGGTCTGTTGTCACAGATATACAGTTTCAATATTATCCTCCAAAATTTAGAAAGAATAATGCCTAGGACTGAAAGCAATAGAAGATAAGTACATTGTTTGACACTGTATTAAATAAGTAGTAAAAAAATAATGTGGTACTAAAATATACAGTATTTATATACTTACACAGGGGAACAGAAACTTGTGTTACAGCAGTTTCAAAGAGACTTGAATCTAAATTACATTTTTTGCTTAAACAAATCTGTGCCTAGATTTCTATTTTCAAGGCTTAATACCTATTGTTTTGCTTGCAAACCAAAGACAGAAGGTTCAAGATCAGCACAGTCTCCCTTATTATCCCCCTTGTGTATTATCCCCCTAGCTCTATTTACACAATAAGTACCATATAGTCTCTCTTCTGTTTCCAGAGCCTTCTGTTAAAGGCTCTATAGAGACATCAGAAAATGGCTGATGCAAGTTGATTTGAGCAGTAAAGAGTTTCTGTAACATTATCAGAAAATTAATGGGAAAGGTTTGTTTGGTGGGAAAGGAATGTGTAAGCTTTTGCTTTGCAGTTTTAAGTATTCAATTCCTTAGTAAAAAAAAGTCACTAAACTCAGAGGTTGTTAAGCATGATTGCTATTGATGTGATTGTCCTATACATTTAAAATTGTGTTCTAACACTACTGTATGTATACTCAGGACACTCAGTATACTTTAATGCCCTGAAAATTGAGTCTTTAAAAAGTGAATTAAAGACTCAAGGTGAAAACAGTTCAGGATCAGAAAGATTCTGTTCAATGCTCACATGAAGGATAATATATTATACAAAAATATTTAATTGTAATTTTGAATATGTTTTTATGAGTCATTCTGGTCTTTTAACTAAGTACTTTCAAACATTTGACACTGTGAGCTGAATTCATTTTCTGGGAAGTAAAGTGTACTTCTTCATATTGTGTGTCTCTGTCATACTGGCTACTTGCATATGGTAAAACCTTTTAATTGCAGATTTACTTATCAATTCTGATGTGAGGATCTGCTTGAGGCATCAGAAATTAATTGAAATTATTGTGTCAGGGGGCATTTAAAAATCAATTTCAACTGTCTTGTGTTTCTCTATGCATATTTTGTTCAAAGTAGGAAAGCCAAGACAATTTTTAGCAAAGGATTTTTAGTAGCATAAATGCATCTTTTTTAGTTGCCTCATCCAGATAGCCAACAGTCAGCAGTGCACTCCCCGTTGACTTTTCTCATTATCTAGATTACAGAAATGTAACCTACATTGCTGACAAATCTGAATTCTGTAGTACAAGCAATGTTGTTACTTAAATACCAATGTTGAAAATAGGTCTAAGGAAACAATAAGGCAACATAAAAATAGAGGAACAATATTGCAATAAAAACAACAAAACAAGACATAAATAAATGAAATAATCATAAATTCCTGAGTATAAATACATTTAAAAAATACTAAACCTTACTCTGTGCATTAACCATTTAATAAACTAGTGTGATTATTGATTTTATATTTAATCTTATGTTATATATATTATACTAATAATATTTAATATGTAAAACTATAAAATGATACACCACTGTTTTCTACAGCATACTGAACATTGCTCAACTGACAAGCAAATCTCTACAGTATCACATAAAATGTGAGGTGCAAACAAAACTGAAGTTGAATTTAAATGTATACAGATGCAGCCATTCAAAATGCACGATACAGACACGTACCGCGGGTAATTGGCTACGTCTTCACGCATCATGACGCGCGATGACGCAAAATACCGCTGTACCTGATTGGTTGACTGACAGGGGCACTCATTGGTTGGTTGAGTTGGTTGGTTGGTCGTAGAAGGATACTGTGCCCGTTTTAGTATTGAATATTTATATGGAATTTTACCACTGAAGGGAAATCTTAGTAGCTGAGCATAAAAAGAATAGGAGCATACTGTAAGGCATGCAAAGGCCATAAACGATATTAATTTTGGAACATAAACATACAGTATATGGCTGATCTCGGCACTTTAAAGAAAAAATACACACCAGTATTCCATTTCTCCCTAAACACTTTAAGCATCGAAGTCTTTAACTAACATGTGAAATAGCTTGTACAAAAGTGGTAGTTTTAAGTTTTTCTGCTAATATAATATGGAATCGCATATCTAAAGAAATTAATAACGATATAATTATGTTCGTGTACTGCGACAGGACTTTGTAGGGCTGTTTCACCTCTCCTTATGTGACTTCCCCGGTAGCTTGCTGGTTTGTGTGCTGGACTAATAACCCACAGGTTGTGTGTTCAAATCCAGCTGCTGCTGTGACTTTTCTTTTAACAAACATTTCTTTGAAGAAATAGAATAGCAATATTATGGACAATTAATTGACTTTTATATTTATAAATATCACAACATGATCGAATTTAAGTAATTTTTAATAACAATGAATAGTCACCTTATTTCCTTCTGACAACTGTCCCTGCTTCTGCTTCCTGCTTCTATCGTGTGTATGTGTGGGGGGGATCCCTTTAGATCTCCCTTCAGATTTAAAAGGTTATTAATCATATCCTCGGTGTTGCATCTTCCCAGTGTAGCTGATCTTTTACTGCCTGGGTAAACTATCACTTCACTTTAGGGAACTTAACATTTCTATTATCAACAAATTGTAAATATGATGTTTACATTGGCATTATTAATTTTACACTTGTGTATATGGAGGATTATCAGCTGTCATTGAGAGTAGACCCCCCCTCTTAGGCTGCGCAAACGATCTTTTAAATTTTTATAGAGAAATGGAGGCTGTACAGTATGTGTTACAATATAAACATTTATATTGATTTAAATCGTGTTTAATTATATGTGTTTTTTGATTCACAATCACAACATAGGATTCCAGGAATCGGTACATTTAAAGTACCGATTCCTGGAATCTGACTGGCTGACACCCTTCTGAAGTGGTACCATAATATCTGGTATGCGGAAAAGAAAGTGTAGATAAAAAAGCTTGGATTCTCATGTATCTGATACAAGTATATTTTAATACAGTCTTTGTTGTGCTCTTGAGGATCCTTGTGATATTTTGAGCTCTGGTTGAATGATAAGTGTCGCAGTTTAAATAATTTTCGTAGTTAGAAATTTTGAAACGCTCTGTTAAAAGCAAGGGAGTTTTTATGTCCGTTACAGTAAAAGAAAATGCCTGACAAAGTAGGGCTTGGACAGATTCCAAGTGCTTGTACAAATGTGCTAAAGAAATTAGCAAAAAAAGTCATTCCTTTATCGTATTGGCTAGCTAATGTCCTGTCCTCATTAGTTAGATCAACGAAATGCTCTGGTGTTTGTCAAAGAAAAAAATAAAAGTATTTCCGTTTAAAATGACGGTTAGAAAGAATGTGGACCAGCATAATACTTTGAGTTTACAGCTTGTCCAAAGTCATTCATTATTAATACTATTAGTAATATCTTCGGTAAAGGCTTTGATGCATAAAATATTTCTGCATAATTAAAATATTTATGATAAAGGTAGGTTGTGTACTTTTGTACAACTGAGCAATGTTGCTTTCATAAAATATACCAACTTTTTAATGACTGATGATTAACATGCTGTAATACACAGTTTAAATTTAAAAGCTCAAATGCTGTACTTGAGAGGTTAAGCTTTATTCGCTCCTCCTGGCAGTTTTACAAGGTGATTCCGGATACTTTACAGCATGACGTCATATGACGCGATACACCGCGTTATACTGTGTTTTGATGCGACACGCCCACTGCGGTATACTGCGAAATACCCCACCCATTTTAAATGGCTACATCTGTAAGTGTAACTTACAGTGCTGAGTTGTGTAAGTTGGTCTGAAAAATGCCATCATGCCCTGCTACTGACATATAAATGTTTTCAAATACAGAAACACTCCAAGGACAAAAAACTAATTAACTCATTAGACCAAACACAGTAATCTTATTTGGGAAAACAGTTATTTTTAATAGAAAAGAAAAATAAATTAGAACACGAGAATTTAATTTTGAAGGATTTAAAAAAACTTTCTTGTGTCTATAATGCAGTAACTCCACTTTTTATACAGTATATCTATATTTTTATTTATTATACAGTATATTGAATCATGAGCTTTCAGTTATGTTTTTTTTTTCACATTATTCCACTGAGGTTTAATTTATCATATTTTGGTTGGTTTTGTGTTAAGAATTTTCTTTTTTAACCACTTGCACAGCAGCCACGACAAACAAAAAGCTGCTGAGTTAAGAATTAGTTATCTCTTAAGTGATTTTGAATTTCTCCCAAATATCATTTTTTCTGTTAACTGTGTATAGTTTCAAATAGCAAAAATAATGCATATTTACTTATCAGCTTTGCATGGTCTGATTTCTAATGAAAAAGTATTCTGCAGATGCACATATTCTGTATATACACTGAAAAATGTATAGGCATAGATGTACACAAACAAAATTGTGGATTTGCATTTGTACCTGATTTGGGGGATGAAAACAGCCAGGGTCATTTAATGACTGTGCTGATTATGACTTGTGATGAATTGTCATATTATTAATTAAAATGAATAGAGGCAATATTCTTTTCATTCATGACCAATATGATCATATTTCTTTGATGTTTTAAAATACTTTTAAAAATATAAAAATATATCTGAGGCTAAGAAAGGCAATAAGAATTTACATATGCAGTACATTAACACTAATAACATTAAGTTATCTTCTCATTGTGAAGAAAAGGCAGTGAATGCAATGCACAGCACTTACACAGCTTTTACATCTGATAGCATTGCTTAAATATCCTGATTTATGGAATCAGGTTCCAGACAGTATTACTATAACATTTGTCACATGGATATGACTTGAAGTAACAATAATGATGTGTACAACTAGACCTAAATGATAAATGAATTATAATATGTGGCTATTTAATCTTGCCTGTTAAATTTCAGAAAGTTAGAACCATATCATAGTCTCTTCTTCAATGCAATTTAATTCAATTTATTTTTATATACCGCCTTTCACAACAAGGTTGTCCTAAGGCACTTAATGCCTTTATATAGAGCTTTTCATCATAGATTTTGGATAATGAGTCTGCTTATTGATTCTCTTAAAAATAATTTGTAATAACATTTTATCTCAGCTGCACATAGATGATTAATAAAAATGCTCTCTTTATTTTCAGTCAGTTTGTTCCCAGGAAAACATTTACGTGGAAACAAGGTAAGGTTCATTTTGCAGTTTATTTAATAGTGTGTCATGTACATTATATAGGTCTATAGATTTCCTTATGTTTGAAAACCATGAGTTTTCAGTATGTTCCATGTAGTTCCTGTTTCAGTCGTCATTATCTTGCTTCATTGTGAATGTTGTTTTAATATGCTGTCTTCAAAAATTAAACATCTCCAACTGTACTTCAGATTGTTTTAATTACTGCAATTACTTAAACTCTGTACTTCCTAAAGTGTCTTGTAAGACTTAGCTATAAAATGAATGTGTAAAATAGATATTTAAAGAAAGATTACATGTATGAATATGAATATTTACTGAAGCTCATTAAATTTGAATTAGAAGATGAGAGATAATTAAAAAGGGCTATTTAAATCTGGGTTAACAATTGCATAATGTTATTTTGTTTTCACAGGATTCTAGAAGACTGTAATTTATTTAATGACACTCAAAAGAAAAGGCAGCTATTTCGGTTTGTGTTCTTTTTTACTTTCTTAATTACTCTTCTGTTAATTTTGGAAGTCTCTCATTTATCAGAAATGAAAGATTCTGATTTTGAGTCTTGTGTCATCACATATAAGTGCCAGATCCTAAATATTTTACTTGAATATGAAATTGAGATAGATATGACAGTCAGTAAACTCCCTTTTTGTGATCCATGATTATTAAAAATGGATGTGTAGCTTTACAGGTACAGCCATTCAGAATACATGGACAGTAATGCACCTTTATGCGGTATATACACAGAGCATTTTAAAAATTCTGTTGCAGGTCTGCACTACTTTGTAAAACAGCAAGGTGGCGCAGTGAAAGCTTTACATGGCGTGTTGGCGTGTGGAAGTTTTTGGGCTGTTACCGGGAAACAGCTGGTTTTGAATCTTGGTCAATGTTTAGCCTTGTAGGGACAATTTGTTTTCAAATTATAGAATTTAATTTGCTAAAATTTGAGAATTTCATTAATTTTACACTTTATATTACAGTATGTTAGATATTAAATTAATATAAAAAACAAAAGTAGGTCTGTTTATTCAGCTAGATATATAAAATGAATTGCTTATTACTGTAGCTTGTTGTGAATGTGATGTGCTTTTTTCAGGTTTACATTCACATTAAAATAATCTGTATTTTGTGTTAATGCTGATTTCAGTAACAAGTAAATTGTAAAAGATTTAACTTTAGAATTTGATTATGAAAGATATATTTTACATACTGTATTGTAGTGGCTATTGTAGTGGCCTACACTATTGTTTTGGCATATTTATGGATATGTCTTCATGTAATTTGTGTTTGTTATTTCTGAATTTGTAGTGTTCATGAATTAGATTCATGTGGTCAATGTTTTATAACTGCAATACACACAGATTGAAGCAAATATGTTCCCTTTTAAAAAGACCATTGCATCTCATTATGATAATAAAGTTGGACCACTGTTAATCACTAGACTCATTAGAAGGTAACGTTTTTGCCTGCTGCTTTTATTTAGATGTATATGGTAAATGTACATATGTCACAGATATGCTGCGGTATTGCAGTCCAGAGGTTAAATGCTTTTGAGAAATAATGATGTAATATACCACTAATATTACAAAGCATACATATTTTTGTTCAGCGTGAAAATGCTGAAACTAAACTGAGAGTAATAGTACACTCACCCAACAACAAACGTGTATGACTTGCAATAGAGAATATATATATAAATATATAATATATATAATAATTTATGTATATAAATATATAAACAGTACAATCACAATTATATTTGCCATTGTACTAATGGCTAAAACAGATATACATTTTAAAACAAATGTCATTAAATTTTGTATTTAAAACTAAATGCTGTATATACATAAAAAAAATCAATTACTGTTTGATTTCTGTTTAAGGACATCATTTAAGTCCCTTGCACTTTCGTAGCATCCTGGGGACTGCTGGTCTGGAGGTTCATTAATATTATTACTTTATTATTAATCTTATTTTAATTATTTAACATACTGTGATATATAAACTTATAAGAAATATAAATGTCATTTATATATCCAACTGCGAAAAAATAAAAGGTTTTGTTTGACCAGGAATCCAACCTTGCACCTTTTGATTAGCAGGCGAGCATTTAGTCACTGTTGAAAAGAGCCACTTGGGTGCAATGCACTCCATTACAGACTTTGAGCATTTAAATTATAAGACATTTAAATGATATAATTTTCTGGACAGTTCTGTTCCAAATTATGGCCACATCATTATTGGCAAAAGTCTAAAAGGTCTCATTTGTGTCTGAATCTCTGTAATTTTAACTATACCCAGTTTAATATATTATAGTGTTATTGATAATTACAGCTATTAAGACAGCAAACCTTTATTAAAATGAACATGTCAAAATGTTTCCAAATTAACCACAAGCAATATTTTCAGTTACCAAAATTTTAGTTCCATATGAATAATTTCATTTAAGTTCTAAGTTCTAAGAAAAGGTTAAAACATTATAGTTTTTTATGAAGTATATAAACTTTATATAGTTAGAATGAGTTCATTAAAACTTTTCCAAAATAACCACAGTAAGTGACTGAGTTAAAGACTGCAGAAAATGTTTTTTTTGAAGAAGGTGGAATACTGTTTGTGAACTTTATTTTTTTATGTTTAGCTACTGCTACCAGCTACTGTACGTACATTATTTGTAATATGTAATATTTTTATGATGTTTATAGACATTATACTTCTGTGCTACGAAAATAAATTAAAAAGTAAATTTTTCAGCTTCTAGTTGTATAATTATATATTAATAATCCATAGTAAGTGGATTTAAAGATGCACAGTAGAGAAGCATTAAATGAAGTGATTGTTTCACTAACATCTAATGCACTACAAGTGCCTCCTATCGATTGTCTGCGGCCAATGAATCACACAGTGTACTGTGCCGCAGTACTGCAAATGCAATAATAAGAATTCTGAGTGGCTGCATCTTTATATAGACATTGATTCTGTTAATTATTTTGCTGAAGACAACTATATAATTGTGAATAAATAAAAGAAAATTAGATAATCTAATGAGTGTGGTGGTTTGTAAGCATTATAGTTTTACGAGCTACACATACATGTATTGTGTGAACTGGGTACTTGATATTTTGATATCTTTGTCTAATTTCCTGTTCTCTACAAAGCTGTATAGTTGAATACTGTACTGAACTGAAATACAACCTTGAGAAAAGGCTTCAATGACTGTGTGTTTGCGTTTGCATTTAACCATTAATCCTGAAGAGTCTTATATTAAAAAATGCTTTATGCATAGCGAGATGGAGTGCTGTTTGATGCACAAGTTGTAACCAAGTTATGATAGCTAATAGCAGGGTTTTTTGCCTGTTTTAAGATGGCCTGATCTGAAGGCAAAATGTTTAAAATGTATAAGCTTGACACCCGTTGTCCAATAATATTTATAGTGATTTCAGGCTGTATAACCTCACAAGGACAGCTTTAAAAAGTAGAAAAAAATGGGTGGCTACATAATTAATTTGGATGTTCTGCCTCTGATTCTTAGGGGAAATTGGGACAGCACAGGAAAGGCATCTGGCAGTCGACAGAGCAGCACAGAGACGGACATGAAATGGAATGACCAACGGCCATGGAGCAGCACAGACTCAGACAGTTCTAACCGTAACCTGAAACCCACAGTGACCAAGACCGCCAGCATTGGAGGAATAACAGTTCTAACAAGAGGGGATAGCTCTGCCAGCAGCAGGAGCACCGGCAAACTCTCAAAAACGGGTAGGTAGTAAACCATTATTTTTGGTTTCCTGTTTCTGGGGGTATATTTGTGTTACTGATAGATCATTCAGTCATTAACATTTCAACTTCTTACCTATGTAAAGAATTAAAATGACCCATGCCTCCACCTACATGAATCACATTTAGCCTGCTGTACTATATTTAATTCAAGGTGTTTTTGCAGTATAGCATTATGCTTATATAAAAAATGTCTGGCAAATGCAATGATCCAATTATATAAAAAATGTCTGGCAAATGCAATGATCCAATTGCATGCTCAGCATGAGACTATCAAAATGTCATTTGTTCTGCTTTTTATATAGATATTTGGCAAACCCTTTTTCTGTTTTATTATTTATAACTAGATTTTGTTGGAAAATCTATTTATGACGGTAAAATGCATCCTGTATAATTTAGTGGCTTTCTGTGTTTTTGAAAATAATTTTTGAAATTATTATTAAGAAGAAGTTTCTGGCACAGTGTTACTGTTGCAACAGATGTTTTTTGATGGGACTATATACAGATGCAGCCATTCAAAGTGAGCGGTACAGACACGTACCGCAGGTAAGATGACACGGGGTACCGCGGTGCGTGATTGGTTGACCGACAGGGG